CGCCAGGTTCCCAAGGCCGTGCTTTGCCTGCCGTGAACACCCTGCCAGACTCTGGCAGAACCTGCTGGTTGCTGGCACGGGAGCCAGCCCCAGCCGGCAGCAGGCAGAGCACAGCTCCACACCCAGCTCATCCCACCTGCCCTGCCCCGTGTCTGGGAGACCCCTGCCAGCAGGTACGGGGGAGGTCAAGAGGTGCAATGTGAAAAGCTGTCAGAGAGAGGGAGAAAGGTCACTGAGCAGTGACTTTGGCCCATAATCAGTTTATGGGATTTATTAAGAGCTCCAGGCCAGCCAGCCGGGAACTGACTGCGACGGCGTCAGCTCAGCTTTAGCACAGCAGCACCTTCCCACGCTGGGGGTGCAATGCAAATGGGGTTTATTGATGCTCCTCGGTTACCCAGACACAAGCAGCAGAGCAGGGCCCCTGTAGCATGAGCCCATCCAATAAAAGCCATCAGTTAATACTTCCTGTGCAGCCCAGGGGAAGAGTGGCCACAACTGAGTTCCTTGCCTTTCCTCCCCAAGAGAGAGAGAAAAAAAAAGGGGGCGTTTCGGGAAGGAAGGTGAACACTTCCAGGACGTGAGTCAGCGTTTTTGGCCATACCTGCTGTTCAAACAGTGCCATGCAGCAGGAGATACCCGAGGTTCAACTCATGTGATGCGAGTGCCAGCCCTGAAGGAACTCGAACACATGCTTCACGGCGCAAACACTTCCGATACCATCACAGGCTTCACCCCACCAGGTAACCCTGACCCAGACACGCCTGCCACAAACAGTCCTGGCCCAACACCAGCTGCTGCCACGCTGGCAGCCACCGAGGAGGAGGAACAAGCTCAGCACAGGTCAGAGTCATGCTGGGGGTGAAGCCTTCAGCACACAAGAACGCATGTATTTGCTGCCTAAGTGGTTTTTCTCAGCTCAAAGGACTTGCACTCATTTCTGGCTTTACCTCTCCACTCTCCCCCCCACTGCCTGACCACCTGCCTGTACACCAAGGCAGGCAATGCTCCCTTGCTCCTCTTTGCCTGACCTGGGCAAAGCCCTACCCTACAGCTGTCACCAGATGAAGATCTGGCAAATCCCATCAGCAGAGGCTGAGAGAAACTGCTTTTAAACACCAGAGCCAGCTGCAATCCCAGGCTGGTCCTGGGGTCAGTCCATTGTATCTACTCAGGGACAGCAGCATTTGTGAAAACATCAGTCTTTGTAGTGGCACAGAGATGTGGTCAAGGACCTTTAAAATCACCCACGCTGCTGAGAAGCTGAGTTACCACTTGGTGTACAAAAACCATGAGAATGTGTTCAGCAGCGAGGTTGAGCCAGCCAGACATCAGGGTAAGCTATGCTGAGGAGACCAGCCTTGACCCCCGGGGGTGCTCACTGAAACACACCCAACAATCTCACCTGGAAAAGTCCCGCTGCACTTTGCCATCGTTATGTGCCACAGCAACGCAGGAGGGACTCATCCAGGGTATGAGGAATGGAAAGAGAAGATTTGTTCCTCATTTCCTGGTCTGGTGGGCCATGAGGTCCCACAAAACACAACTGAGTCACACAAGTACCACTGCCCCACCTCTGCTGGTTATCTGAATTGTGCAGAGTCAGACACCTGCCCTGTGCATTTACAGGGCTGTAAAGGATAAGGCCTAGATTTATCACGACATGCACGGGCTTTGACTGCAACAAGGAAAGCTCAAAAGCCAGCCTACCCTGTATGACAGCATGTACACTCCCTTCAAGGTCTTCTGATGATCTCAAATTGCTTTCATTAAAACAAACAAAAAAAAAAGCTCAAAGTCCATCAACCTCAAGGTAGGTCCTGGCTCACTATTATTTCAGGGTGGCAGAGAACATGGAGCAGCGAAGGGAGCCAGCAGCCTGCTCTTCAGGATGCAAGCAGCACCTACAGCAGCTCTGAAAGAGCCTCTCCGTCAGCTACATGTATTGATGCTGTCCTTCAAACTCAGAGAGGGAAAGAAATTAAGATCAGCTGTGTTTACAAAAAAGAATCCACATTATCAAGAGGAACAAAAGGCTCCTGGGGAGGGGAAACAGAACAGTTAGAACTGAGTGTGCTCAGGTACTGCCACAAGCAGCCCCTGATATAAAAATACCAAGTTGTTTTCTGAAAAAGGAGCTACATCACCTCCACTTACTTGGAAACCTATTTGCCCTAGGCTGGTGTGAGAATACTCCCTAGCTCCTCCCGATTTCCAGCCACCTGAATTCAGCACTAGCAACAGTCACATCTAAGAACATCTCACATGATACAAAAAGTCAAGTTAGCGTCTCAATTTAAAACATTTCACACCTTTAGCCCTGAGCTTGGCAAAGCAGCTGAGCCCACAGTGGTTCCTTTAAAAACAAGGACACAGCCTTCCTGTAACACGCACCACCTTTCCTCCTTCATGGCTAAGGACAAGAGTCCTGGGTCTGGTCTGAAAAGCTTCCTTAACGCAGCCGAGAGCTATGAACGATGAACGCCCTCGTGTCCCAGCGCAAGGGTCAGTGTCAGTTCTGTGCATACAGCCCTGGTACCACCCTCCCCCTCCCTGTTCAGCACAGGATGACAAGGATGACACTGAAGAGCCATTTCCACATTAGAACACGCCATGAACAGCCCTTCCACTCAGGCCCAATTAGGAGGGTGGGCACTTCCTCTGCGTGCTCCCTCGCCTCCTGTTTCCAGAGGCACCAGTGCTCGGAGCAGACAGCTCTTCCTCCCAGCCCACTCTTCTTTTTTGTCTGGAGCCTGCTATGCTCATAAACTTGTATTATGACATCAAGCTGATATGAAATAATGATGATTTCACTGCAATTAAGGAGCAGGTGGGGCTGACGGAGCTGGCTAAGCAACAAATCTAAATTGGAGAATGCTGTCAAGGGAAATTAAAGCCTTTTGCAAAAAGCCAACTTAGGATCACAGACAAATTCCAGCTGGAAGGGACTGCAGGGAGGCATCTAGCCCAACCTCCTGCTCAAAGCAGGGCAGCTATGACCTAGGCACCCTCACCTCTGCTGCAGAGCATTTTTGGAGGAGCACAGCATGTGAAGCACGTACAATTTCCTGTAAGTTGTAAGCAATGCACTTGAAAAAGCCAACTAAGAGAACAGGCAGAACAATACAACAGCATAGCAAGCCAACACATAAGCTTGAAAAATAACCCCCATACAGACAGAGTTCAATAGAAAACAGCACAAAAATTCAGGATGGGACACACTGGACAGGCTTAGATGTACCCACCAGAAACACATCTAAGCTTTCAGAGACTGACAGTGTTTTCAACACAGCTGGGGCTTGAATTCACCACTTATTACCAATGCCCACCACCACACACAACAGCAGGCAAGGCAGTGAGAGCAACATTACTGATGTTACTAATAAAACCTAGAGCAGCCTGTCCTTCTTTCAGAGCCTTTTATGAGAGAAAAGAAAAAGGCTCTCAATTGCTTATAACAAGGAATGGCTTAAATAGGTTAAAAATAATGAACTGGTAATCTGCACATAGGAGCACTCCATGCTCCAAATTAAGCAAAGGTGGCCTCAGGATGCCTCTCGGAGTTGCTATAAGAAGGTTAATAAATTGCTTTGAAACTCTGTACACAGCTCAGTAAGATGACTAAGACCCTGTTGTCACAGTCTAATGTCATTACCTGAATTCTAGCATTTTCCAGGGAACTCGAGGTTGTAGTTCTTGCACTTTATGGCCCCTGTTATAATCATAACTACTTGTAAACGGCTTGGGATTGCTTGCAGAAGTTTGATCTTTCATCAGGACAGTAGATAACAGTAAAGCTCTCCACACAAAACCTCTGCAGAGCTGCAACCAGAAGTCAAGATCCACATAGCTTTTAATGCTTTCAGTTGTAAGTCTTTGTTACAAACCAAACAGATTATACAGCAAAAGAGTGTCAGTACCACAGCATCTCTTTAAGGAAGGTTGCCATCTTGTTCATTGTTCAGCATGTCTGGTGCAGGATGGTGTTCTGCAAAGCAGCGCGACACAGCTGACCGCGTAAGCTCACACTTCTGTGCAGAAGTGAATTCTATTAACACACCATGTCTGAAAGACTAACTGGACTCCAAGCTCCTCCGCAGAACAAGGCCTGCGGTTTTAAGAACTACAAACCAATGCATCTCGACACTCCAAGCGTGTGAACTGTTCTTGCTTACAATGCTTACCAAGGGTAGTTTTGTTTCTAAAATTTGACAACCCTCCTCAAAGTCATGAGTAAATTTACTGGACAGAGGAAATAATTTCTTCTCCTGAAACCAAATTATTTCCTCCGACTTTGGAATACCTCATGTCAAAGCAAGAAAAGCGGTGCCAAAACAATTCCAAGCAGCCACTCTGCAAACAGCTGCCAAGAAGGCATTTCTCTGATGCTTCTTCCCCTCCTGCCAAGGCGTGTTGTCAGATGCATTGCCTAGACGGCAGAAGTCATATGTAAGGACATAACATTCTAGATACCAGTTATTAGAAACACACCAGTTTTCACATGAGGCACTGCTTGTAAAGCATCCTTATTTGGATAGGGCAATACTCAGAGCCTAGGAAAACATCCCAGCCACAAGAGCGAGCTACATTTCCTCTTCCACCTTCCAGGTTAACAGAGAGAGACTGCTCTGACTCAGAAGAGAAGTTTCCAAATGCGCACTGGTATCTCTGAAGCCCAGCAGACTTTTTGCGTCCCTGTGCTCCCAGATTATCTATACAAATGTTTATTAGCACACAATGTTCTCCAGCTAAAGTTTAACACTTTCTCAGGGCAGATCCTTCTCCTGAAGGGAGTATGCATAGTGACCGCACAAGAGCGCGGCCTTGATCCAGATTACCACTCTGTGATGACAGAGATAGCACAGTGTCAGTATTATGATCCTGAAGAAATGGTTTTCAAGCAGTAAAAATAGGAACTGTGAGCAGGAACTCTGCTACATGCATGGAAACTGTCTAAAAAGCTAACATACAAACAACATTTACACAATAGGCATCTGGCAGCATTTTCAGACATTTTTTTAATTTATTCTGACATGCTATAAAGGAATAAATTACACTGTTAAAGAATTACCAGCAATAAAAGTATTTCTTTCTTTCAGCTGGGCTAGAATAGGAGTGAGAAGGAAGACAGCCTGGGGCAGTAACCAATGTGAACTCTGCATGGTGCAAGGCTGTCCCCAAGAAAAAAAGTAAATCTGGTCATATCCACTTCACAAGAACTTGAAAGAAAATGCCTTGGTTTAAAACCATCCAAATACTCAATTCAAATTTTTCTCAAAATTAGCAATCACAAGTCAGTCCAGCCGATGGATGACATGGCAACGCTCAGAGGCTGCAAGTAACGGGTCTGCAAAAGATGCCATTTCGTTTTAAAAAAATCCAATCTTAGTATAGAGGGCTGGTCTCAAACAACAAGTTATAAAAATGCAAGACTGCCCCTTCCCCCTCAGGAAAAAATACAAAATTTATTTAAAAACAAAGTGAGGAAGAGTTACAACACTAAGTCTAAAATGATTTAGAAAGAAATATGACTTGTTTTGCTTAACAAATGGCCTTGAAACTTGTTTTAAAAACAGGGTAATGTAGATTTCTTAAACTGAATTAACAAGGCAAATTAAAAAAAAAAAATCTCATTTCCTTACAGAAACAGTTTTTAGTTTTTAATGAACTTGTAAACAAAAAAGCTCCCGCTTCAAAATAAAAACAAAATCCCAGATCATATAGATGTTTACAGTGATTACATTTATCTAAGCAACTTACATACAGGTTCAGTTGTAAGATGTTAACTAAATTTCGTGACAAATATGCTGTTTTTCCTTTTATACCAAGAACATTATAGAGTTAATGCAGAGTCCTAAAGATTATCTAGTAGTCGCTAAGTTTCTCTTAAGTCTTCACTTTAGATGCTGTTATTTCTAGCACAGGTAAGCAGGCAGAGTCTCTCATATGCTTAAAAACTGGAATCTTTGGTTACTACCATGTCAGCTGGCTTGGTATGTTGCACATAGAAGCCAACAACTTTAAGAATGTTTTAAGTGTACAACTTTCAAAACCCAGGGAGGAATAACCAGAAAAGAGTGCACAATTGTGAGCATTTACAATTATCACAACTGTTGCCGAAGACTGTTCATGCCATTCTTCCAAAACAATGAGATCTCATAAGCAGTGTAGTTCAAAGTAAAAAGGTAACAAAAATTGGCATATGCACAATTTTATCCACTTGTGTGTCAACCATTAGTTAACTTTTCCACTTGAAAAAAATGCAATAGAAAACTGGACACCATGTTTCACTATCTCAGTAATATTCACAATTACAGCTGCTACAACTCAAAGTGCAGCATCATTGACACTGCCCAGAGCCAGTTTATACTGATATTAAGTTCTTTACACCAAGTAAATGGTTGCCCACAGCCACTGGCAAGTGTACGTATGAACTAAAATTTCTAGGATTTGGGGAGTGACAAGTCCTGCTCCGATCTGCTCTGCTTTGTCCCATCCTCGCCATGCTCAGAAACCTGCAAGATAAACACAAGGACAATTTACTGATACAGGATGAAAATGAGAAACAGCCTTCAGAATAAGAGAATTAAACATCAGTTATGGTCATTCAAAGGGGAAAACGCTGCTCTGTCTCAGAACTGCAAAGTTCCTGGTGTCCATTTCCAAAGCTAACCAGCATTTGCCACCACCCTTCAGCTCAAACACGCACCTCTCACACCTACTGCTGCACTGGAAAACAGGCTTAAGCCACCAGCTGGATGTCACGTTCCTCAAATAGGAATTCAGACCAACAGCCTGAAAACAAGATGTGTTATTGCCACTAGGAAGCAGGATGTAATTTCATAGGATTGTTTTCTACTTGTCCACAATGTCTCGTGTTTATATCCTTGAATGTCAAACTGTCATCTGATTGCAGTGGTGCTCTTCAGAGACGCAGTACAGCAGTGTCACACAGGCAGAAGGAAAAGGAACAGAAATAACTTACCTTACAGTAACTGGTGTTCACTACATGCTCACACACGTCGCTCTGGGCAACCAGAACACAAGCAAGAACCTTTGACAGGGACTAGCAACCCAGCATACCTTCTGTCCTTGGAAGGACAAGTGAAACAACTCATGTGATGGGGCAGGTGGGGCATCAAGAACAATTCTTTTAATGTTCAGAACTTCAAGTGACAAGTTCAAGACATTGTGGAAAAGGGAGAGTAAAGGAATTAATACACAGATCTCAAAGAACCAGTTACTGCAAGCTAAGCCAGTCTTCATGTGACTGCTTACATACTCATTTCTGGTGACTCAGGTAGTAACACTGTGCTTTAAAGAGGTAACAGGAGTCTCAACCAAAGACTACTTTGCCAAGCAAGTTTCCGTTCTGGATGCCCTCCAAGCAGCATGGTATTCTGTTGATGTATGAATTCATCTGAGCAACAGCTCTCAGTTTTTGCAACAGAAATCTCTTCAGAGTGCAGTACAGACAAAGCTGACCTCAGCTATAGCTTGTGCTGTCATCCATAGAGAAGCAAGCGCAAACAGGTCTTAAACACAGCCTGATATTCAATCAAAAACGTATCTGTACAGTACCCAGAAGACAGCTTTAGCTCTTCCAGAATAGGCTACAGGTAATTTAGAAGAGATATGATAGCTTTGTTTGAACCCAATCTTAAACCATGGAAGGACAATTCTCTTTATCCAGCGTTAGCAATTCTAAAAAAAAAATATAAAAAATAAAAAATAAATCCTACACCAGAGTTAAGACAGTCATTCCTCATTCCCACCTGAGTGCAAACTCTCATAGAAACCCCAGTGATTCCTTAGTGATTCCACTAGCATCAAGTTGTCCGTAACCCTTACTTGATGCATACAATCAAGGGTTACACTGTTTTTCTATTTAGTGTGTTCAGCATTTGAACCACTTTCTCCACCACAGCAGCCAAAACTAAATCAACAAAGGAGGAGTGTGCTCTCGGTATGGAAAGAAACATGCCAACTCATTGCTTTAGAAACCTGGACATTCCAAATGAAAATGGGATCCTGAACACCAAGACAAAGAACATGCTAACAAATGATATACTGCTATTTGTTAGAACACCTCAAATCCAAGGAATTATGGGCAAGAGGATGCCCAAATCTACAGAGAACAACAAGCAACTGGATTTGACCCACAACATCCCTTGCAAATCCTATTAAGACTACAAGAAGTGTTCCTAAACACAGCCCAACCACAGCTGTCAAATGAGATGCTGAGACATTCATGTAGCACACAAGACTTTGCCAGTATGAAGAGTTTATGCTGGCATCTCTCTAACAAATCTTCACTATATACAGGGCCAGCTCAACTATGCACATTTATCACTCCTTGTCCCTCTGGGGCACTATTCAGAACTTTGATAATCTTTATGCTACGTGAAGGATACTCAAATTGCTTTATTATTACAATAGTTGCAGATGTGATCAGTGGGGGAAGAGTAACTGTACTGTCATACCCTAAGAAGCTCCTCTGCTTGAGAAGAGCTCAAACTTTTTCTCTATGAAGTAGCTACAGAGACAAGCAGTGAAAAGTATTTAGTTGTCGCTTGGCTAAACCTCAAGTAGTGAACTAATAGTCTGTTCTGAGAAATACTGCCACGACCATAGGCACCCAGTGAATGCTAATGGGACTGCTGACAGGCTCACAGAGCTCTACACTGAAGTGAATGAAAAACTTCTCTCACAAATGGAACAGACAGACTTCATCCTGGAGATTGACTGCTTGAGTCAGTTTTATGACTGAGGGAAGCTGACTGTAAGCATTGTTACAAATCACACCTGAACAACTGCTGCACTGTCCACAGATCAAGAGCTACGCTTCCCAGAGTCAGCAGAGAAGCTCTGTCTGTTGAAACAGTTCACCTCTCCCAAGTTCAAAAACAGCTGATCTTGCTGTTACAAAAGACACTGCACAGGGTTCCAGAAAGGGACAGGAAAAAAAAAAAAAAAGAGAAAAAAGGCCATTGACAGAACAAGCTACCCTGGAACCAAACAGAATATTCAGCCTGAATAACCTATAGGACTCAGTGAAATGGTTTAATATGGATCTGAGTTAAGGCAGCCAGGAATGTCCACAAATGAGCACACTGTCCAAATAATCTAAGTCATGTAAGTCTCTGGACATTACTTGAAAGAATTAAGATTTCACTCCCCACTGCTCTACTCCCAAGATGCACATCTTCAATAATACTTGCACTTTATATAGTATATTGTAAGATTTTAACCAATAAATGCACCTGTAAATTGCTATTTCCAGTACTCTCATAAAAACTGTATATGGTTACCAGAGGGGGATAATTTGATACCATGAAGCTTTTAAAGCCACTTCAGCACAGGCTTTGCTACAAAACTACATGGGAATTTAACTGAACTCTGGATAAAATAAACCAGGTATTTCATTAATCTTCAATGTGACAGCAACATATAAGCTATACTGTCTCGTGCTTGAGCTTAGCCGGTTTCAGAAAAACTTCATTAACAGGCAACATTTCCCACAAAAAGGCATTTAGGATTTTAGAAGTCTGGAATCTTTACCTTATGAAGAGACTAAGCTAACTATTTTGGGAAGCTGGGGAAGTCTTCAGATGTTTGACAAGCACTACTTTAATGCTTTGCTGACATTACAGCTTCATCTATCCAAAGGTCACAAGCCTTTTCTTCATGATGGGTGAGGAGACGAGGGAGTCATTCCCCCAGAAGGCTGTTACTCAGTGCAAGAGCCAATGAAATTCTGCTAGAAAAACAACTTCTCCATAGCTATAGCAATAGGCCTCATACTAAAGGCCAGCATGATGAGGGAGGTCCCTCAAGAAATAGAAATGGTCTGCAAGGTTCAACTGCAAGACAGCCTCCCTGTTACTCATGCTTGTCAGTCAGCTGCAACTTTGCTCTCTTGTCACTAAATCATCACAAGAAAGTGGAGGCAGATAATTACAGTGATCTTTTCTTCACTTGCAGTTTAGCACTTGGTCAGAGACCACCTGAGCCAGGAGAGTGGCACATTAAACCTCTGAATACTTCACCAGCAAAACAGTATTTCAAGTGAGTACAACTTCACTTTCAGGGCAGCATCTGTTTACAGATCATCACCTATTGTAAGACCTTCACTTTAAACATGAGTCATTGTGAAGAACCTGCATTTTTGCTCAAGTTATTTCCTCTTGCTCTAACAGCCAACCTCTCCACACCCTGACATCAGCCTTGATTCAGTAGTGGGTTGGGAACTCCAGTCAAAGCTTCTGTATTTCAGGAGGCAAACTAAGCCTGGGCGCTTAATCACCACGTCTACGAGGTACTGGTGCTACAGCTGAAGGAACTGGTTGAGAGCCTTCAGTGCTGTAACACCTGTCAGCTCCAGAAAAACAAGCTGGACTCTTTTTATGCCACAAAGAACCTGACATTTAATGATATTCTATGGAAATTTTTTTCTTCAAGAGACAGTTTCAGATTGAGTCTTGGAAAGACCAGCAAGTATTTTACTTCATCCAGAAAAATGAAAGAATGTTCTACTTCTGAATAGCTATTTTGACTAAAGCCAGCTGGTAATGTTTGAATGCTGCCACAATACATGAAAAACAATGTTTTGGTAGGTTTACTGTAAACAATTCAGCATTTCTTTGACTTCCAAGTCTGCCATGTTAACTTAATATATAATTTTAGATATATAAAAATGATAGTCACGACAAGAATGTACTGAAGAGCAGCAAGCAGCACCAATACCTCAATACACTACCTCAGTAGCAGCAACTTATACCTTAAACCCAGGTCCTCTATTCTCACTCGAACAACCTCATTAGCTTCAGTTTTATCCACAGCTCACCTTGAGGAATCACTTTCATGACAAGACTGTCTGTAGTAGCCACTAGCTCTAGGAGTTCCATTTTAGTGACTTACTAGACTAATGCTGGCAGATTTACATCACAAAAATTTTAAAAAGCTTCTAGAATGTGTAAAAAAAATTATATGTGCGTTTTCAGAATTCAGTTTGCACTTTTTATACAATTACATCTTGAACATTTCACAACATTTCCCTTTGAAACCATAATCTAGAAACATTAAAAATAATCAAGAAACCTGAAGCCCCACCCCAGAACATCCAGATAGTTCAGAAAATTGTGACTTGGCAGTCCACAGCAGTTTGAGGTTATGCCATGATTTAGGCAAGACATTTTGAGCTCAATGGTCTCTTCCTTTAACTCTGGACCAAATGTCCCAATATAAACCCACTGGAGGAAGCCAGATCACTCACAATTTTCTGTTTCTGATGTTTGAGGCATACAGAACAGAAGCAAACCCACAGCACTATACCAGCTGGAACCCAAAGTCTCTAGATCCTTGCCTAGTTAATGAGAATTATCCCTTAAGAAGTGTTAGGTCTAGGATTTTGGATCGTATTATATATTTTTATATATAGATATATAAAAATATATACATCTCATATGTATATATATAAATAAAAAGAAATAAAAATGTCACATTCCCAACACCAAGTCAGTTTCTTGTTTTTGGAAAGTGGTTAATGCAGGAGCAAAAGATGCAGTGGTTAAAATGACCCAACATCCCCAGAAGAAATGATATGAAGAACAAGGACATTTTGGTATAAAGTTAGTAGTCAAATTCTCCAAGGACGTCTTTTGTTTTTGCTTTTTAAATTAACAGCCAAATATATTTTTTAAACCACCTCCTTGATCTAACACTTAAATTGCTGACATTGTCCAAATTAGTGTAATTTTTTTTTCCTGTAACGTCACTTGGTTCTTGGCTACTAACCTTTCATGTTACTCTTGGATTTGTCAGTTTGCTTGCCTGTGGGGGTTTGGGCCTGCTGCCCCTGCCCACTGGAAGAGGCTGCTTGCTGTGCTGCTTTCTGCTTTAACATTGTCCAGTCGAATGTGTAGTCATATTGGTGGTTCAAGGTCCTAGAAAAGAGTGAAATACTTTACTGTAACACATCACAACTTCCTTATTGCTAATACCAAACCTTTGTTGAAAACCCAGAACTAGAGGTTAACACTTTTTGTAAGCTGCTTTGGAGATTATGAATAGTATATAAATGCTAAAATTATTACTAACTTAAAGGGATTCTTGAAGCAAGCTCAAACTGTTCACACAAAAGTCTGCATTTGTAGAATTACTTCCTCACAACCCAGCTTATCTGTTTGTCTGCAGAGGTTCTTGGCTTTTTTTTTTTTAATATATAGTTTTAAGGAGAGACAGCAGTATTGTAAATCATAGAATAAAAATTACTTTGGATTCCAGAAACATGGAGGGAGACTCTTGAGAGATCATCAGCAGCAATTCTTTTGACAGATGCTGTTCACTCCACAAGGTTGGGTTTATGTTCTGGTTTCTCTACCAAGCTCAATGAAACAGCACTATTCCCCTCCGTTGGAAACCATCTCCTGGGAACCACTGCCAGTCCCATCAGCAATCACCAAACATGACAAGCTTCAAACACTTATACTGAGGGGTAGATTTCTCAAGCTGCTTGCAACAGAACTTGAAGCACAGGCTCAATCCTCTAGCATTAGTGGTCAGATCATGCAACTCAAACTGAAAGAGAATCTTTTCCTTCATGTTTGATATTGAACAGTATTTTTCAGGTCCTTTAAACAGCTTTTCAAACTCTGAAATGGAACGAAAGTCCCTGAAGAAATCCCTACACCACACACATACAGAGCAGCTTTTCTGCAGTGCAAGTCCCACAGAGCAGGTACCAACTGGTAAAGCACTGACAAATTTCTGTACTTTTCCACTTTGAGACTGACCTGAAAAGAATACGGAATAATTGCCTCAGATACATGTAATCTGGTGCCTCTTCAAAGCGCAGGCCACGACAGTAGTTCAGATACATGGCAAATTCTGCAGGGAATCCCTGTAAATCAACAGTGTTAACCAAGTCATGGTTTGCAGGAAAGAAGCTTCTAGCAACCCTATAACAAGGCAAAAAACTCTATTTCCATCTATAATGTCAGAGAAAAACTGTCTGAAGATTCATATGGATAAATTCCATTTTGCCTCTAGTTATTAATTGATTCTGTATTTCAGAAAGTGGATTCGATCAGCAAGTTACCAGGTTCACATTCCTTCCCCAGAATTGTTACCCAATGCATGTTTTGCAAGTCCTCTGCTACCAAAACCTTCAACATACAACATATTTAAAGCACTTCATTCATCTCAATTAAATCTAGTTCTTATTAACTAGAAGATTAACTAGATTATATCTCTGAAATAAGTAGTAATTGTTTCTTAAAGATTCCACTTACTTTTCCTTGATAATCTACTAGAAGCAAGGTCAGTTACCACAGTTAAGTGTGAAGGCTTAAATCATGAAGACTTCTTTCAAAGATTGCCTGCTTTACATATTTATATATTTAATGCTATATTAAAGCCAAAGTGTAAATAGGTATTAGCATACAGCATAGTGCTGTACTATGAGAAAGAAAACACAGGGTATAAGAGTCCAGCAATTTGGAAGACGTTGTCAGACAGTAAGGGTATATGAATGTGCATGGCTAGAAGCACAGTCCTTGGTGCTGCTGGTTGATGTGCAAAAATGACCATGTGCTCTCAAGGACCTTTGTTAGCAAGCATGCAGCTGCCACAGTTCAAGAGAAGTCTTGAGACCCAAAGGATAGCACTGGAAATGCATAATTCTGCAACATGGCTTTAAAGATCACTTGACATACAATTCCACTACAGCCTCTATTTGAGATACCTAAGACAATCTGAATAATCTTGAAGAGGCAGAAACAAGTATATAGAGCCAAGCTATACACCTCTACCTTGGTTTTATTTATCCAAGAGGGCAGATTGTAGACCTTTCAGTGTAGAAATTGAAGAAATGAACAATCCTCACCTAAGAGAGCTGGAGAGCTTTCACAGCCAACAGTCACCAAGAACTGGAATGATGGTGGCCCAAACTACACCAAGAAACAGCAGCAAATGCCTGCCTGGTTACACACACTGACAGTCCTTCTGGGTGGCCAAACACAAGGCACCCATGACTGTCAGAGAAGGATTATTCAGCAGTGAATGCCATGTGAGACTAATATATTGGCTCTAGTTTTAAAAAACAAGAACGAAAAGAACTGCCATTTCACAGTATGACATCATTTGGAAACTCTTACCTTACACAAAACCTCAACAGGAGTCGACATTTTCTTTTCACTAATCTTCTCATACTTTTGCTTCTTTGTTGCAGCCTGTGGAACATGTAGGTCACAATATAAGAGATATTGTGCAACACTGGATTAACAAGGACAGTAGCACAAAAAAAAAAAAAAGATAAAAATCCTCTGGTCAACCGTAAGTATTTTATGTGAAATCTCCAAGTCCCACACACTTATTGCAAAGAGAATGAAGGTCAATCTGGTATTAAGATTTGGACACAGTTTAATACCATTTGTCGCAGACTAATGCTTCCATCACATGGCACAGCTCGTGTAGTTCTAGCTGCTGCTTTTGTCCATTAAACAGACCAGACTTGCATCTCCATCTGCCAAAGTTCTATTAATTCCCACTCAGTACCCCATTCAAGGGCTGCCTGCGTGTTTCGGTAAGCAGCCATTACATTCATTTGCAGTTGAAGAGTTCTAGTGTTTCACAAGCTGCTTGCCTTTTTAGAAAACTTGCAGCTGCAACACCATTTGAGTTACACAACTCCCACATGGAGGAAGAAAAACAATTAAAACATGAAAACAAATCACTGAAGTCTATAAAACAGAAATAAGAAATGTTTGCCGTGCTTGTACTTGGCTACCATACATGATAATACTTGAAACAGGTCTGCTGCAGTTAGTTATTCAGCTATATCATAAACTGGACTGAAGATATCACTAAAGCTGAACTTGCTAGGCAAGAGTATTTCCATGCTCTCTACAGCAATTCAAAAAGCCACTAACAATGTTATTTTCTACTTCCCAAAGAGGCCTTGGTCTACAACAGGACAATAATAATTTGCAAAGATGACGTAAACTATTGTTTAGCAAAAATTTTAAGACCATCAAACAATACGCATTTTGCCTGCTGCATGAGAAGCAGAAAGAACCTTTCTTCTACATTCTATAAATATCATGACTTAGGAAAAGCTGCTTTGTATAACTGAAGCTAAACATTATATACAACCATCTATCCAGACCAGCTGGCAGAAGCACAATACCCAAACATAAAAAGAAGGAAGGGGGTGGGGAAGCAACATAACCTACCTTTAATCCTTGCCAAGGCAGACTGGTTCTGTTAAAGTACATCAATACATAGCCTAGAGACTCCATGTCATCCCGACGACTGGAGAAAGAGGAAGAAAACAATGAATTGCAATTTTTGGCATTGTGTACTTTATTCCAAATAGTGCAAGCATTCCAAAATTAAATAAATAAAAAAAAGAGAGAATAATTAAGGAATAAAACCCAAGCTTTAGTGCAAAGGAAGGTCTCTTTCTAATACAGCTAAGACATATAGGTGTTCAGGATTCCACTGGCAGACATGTAACAAGTCTTCACAAGCAGGAAAGAGATCCTATTCCTATTTCAAGCAAGGAAGTCAGGAGGTATTGTGTGTGGCAAGTTTCCATCTGCAGCTACATTAGAATAATCTGGGAAACAAAAACTTTTGACAATAAAAAGTGAAACATTAAATGTCTTTCCCATTTAATTAAGTAGTTTGGATAGAAACTAAGTTTTACCTGCAGGAAGCACAGAATGCATTGTAAGAGAGATACATGACATTAGCCTTAACTTCATTGAGGAAGATTTTTCCCTGAACCTTTCCTCAGGCTGTGACCAATACCGAACATTTAAGCCTCAAAAGGGCGTAACTCCTTCCTTCCCTCACTTCTGTTAAAAAGCCCTGAATTGCCTCTGTCATTTTTAAAAGACAAGACAGTATTTAGAAAGGTGCACGCATCAGAGATGCTTCTGCTTTCTTCCCACAAGAAGTCTGTTTCAAGGCAGCTAGAGAACACCAAAGTTACCTACCCATAGACTTCACTGAGAATGTGCATGCAAACTCTCATCTAAAAGGCTTCAAATATTTTCTGTACTGCGTATGCTTCAGATCTACACTTTAGCCATATGAACACCATCATACCTTGCCACAGAGCTTTCATGATTACTAAGGCTAGTACAGTTCACTGAAGTGGAAAAAATGCTCCATGGTTTTTTTCCTCTTGGCAAAGCTGCCTCTTCGCAGCTGTGGTAGAATCAGATTTTTTCCTCTGACTGCCCCCCTGCAGCTGACATCATATTTAACACGAATCAGAAAAATATCTTATTTTTCTCCTCCTAGCTCCCTTATCAAGAGAACCTGACAGGTATTTGCTATTGTTTTGTCACCCAGGCAGATTTGAAAGAAAAGTATTTAAAAGGTGGCAGGAAAGACTACACACCTACCACCCCCCAGAGGGAGTAAAAAGCTGAGAGCAGTACTGCAAACATGATTCTACATACGGGTGAGGGTGAAACAGCTCCCTTTAAGTGAGAAAAATCTGTAAGAAATTGGACAGATCTACCTCCAGACCCTAGCGTCAGAGAAAGAAGTTGTAAGGGATGCTTTATGTTACAGCCAAGCCAATATAACCAATAATAATCACCAGAATGGCCTGCCTGTCACACCCTCAACTTCTGTTCCAGCTCTGTGCCCCTCTGGGGAACCAGTTCACAGACCTATCCCAGCAGAAAATCAGCTCGGCTCCCTAAACTACTTCACCACAAGGACAAAAAAGCAATAGATATGCCCAGGGGTCAGGGAAGATTGGTTGACTCCTTTGAAGTAATTTCAGCCTGTAACATAAGACCACAGCCAAAGACAGAGGGGTGAAAAATGATACTAAGACCATAAACTCCAGCCTACAAAACTTGCTAATTCTATTAGAATTGCAGATTTTAATCATCAACGGGATTCAGTGAAACAGTATGGGGCCATGACAAAATTACATTTTCTGAGAAGGCAGTAGTAAATTCAGAAGCAATAAAGGGATTAGTAGTTTCCATCCCCCATTCAGTTCATTGTTTTAATGTTTAATTTCTTCATTTTGTAGAGGGAAACATTTAGTTCTGTAAATCTGTAATGGATATATTATATTCGAGCATATACTGATAAAAGTGATTTTCAGGATTTGGAAAACCCGACAATACTCTCTGTTACTAAAACAAGAAAGGGATAACATTGCAAACAGCTCCTTGAGAACAGCTGCCACTACACATAGGAAAACATGTTCTGTAACAGTTAATACACAGCACTAACAGTTCAGATATTCTGCCATGAGCTTCAGGGCTGGTTTCTCTTGATTACAGGAATACATTATGTGTTTGCCTCACTGTTGGCTTAATCTAGACAGTCTTAATAGCTTTTAGCATGCATTAAGCTACATTTCTAATGATATTAGAATTCCCAGCACCAGCAGAGATGGTGTAAGACCTCCAACTAAATTCAAAAGCAGTCCCTTGCAGTTCCCTCTCTTCACTGTAAGGTGCTAGCACAGCTATTCTCTTACAAGAATGGCTTGGGTTTTATGAAATGTACTTACTTTACAAGTGGCACCTGTCATTTACCCTACTTCACCCACACATCAAGTAGGTTTAAATACTGACACTGACAGACAGAGAAATACACTTACAGAACCTTAAGGAATGTATGTTAGGTACTCATGAGATACACTTCCAAACAACCCAGAGTATGATCTCCACTGGACCACTGCTAGGATACTGTAGTGGCAAGGTACTTCTGATCCAGATGATAAAATATGTTTGCTGATTAAGCAAAACTCAAACATATAAATATACACACACATGTGTACATATATACATACAGAGCCACAACTATGGTTGTGTATACTGGAAACCAAAATACAGTATGAGTGGAGTACAAAATTTTTAAGTCTTGCTTGCAGGCAAAAGGATAAACAATAGTTTACTAACTTGAAGGGAGAATGAGAAAACAGGACACAGACAGCAGCTTTAGAATACCCTTCCTGGCTATTGCATCTCAAGCCAGTCAGCAGTGGCATCAACCGTTACCAATTAGGAAAGGGTACCATTTTATTTGTATAGGCCCTCTGACAGATCCACATGAAAGTATAGCTTATCCTCTAAAGAAACCAAAACAGTATTCAGAACATCCACCTCATGCTTGCAAGACTTAGACTCTCTTCAAGAAGCAAATTAGATGCCTAGATTTCTTCCCTTACCCTTGCATAGGCAGCCAAAAAGAAAAGCACTCGCAAAGGAATATATACACTTATTCATATAAAAGTAGTTCAGACATTTCAGAAGCTTACAAATAAGATCAACTTGCAGCCTCCAAAAGCACAGCAGTAATCTCCTTGAACTCACCTCTGCTCAATGCCAAGATGTGCATTGATACTGGCATATCGAGCTGTGCCAGTGAGATTTTTGTCTTCTCTGTATGGTATGTGTTGCCTTGTCCTGTTGTCCCGGTACTTTTTGGCCAAACCAAAGTCAATAAGGAATAACTTAAAGAAAAATGAAAATAGATTATACTCTTATACAACACAAGGCATCCCCAACCTCTCTCACTAAGCATTAGCTACATTTTAAGACATTCACACAACGTAACAGCCTACAGTTAAGAGGAAGCAAAGTAACAGTGCAGAGTCACAACTAGCTTTAACTAGCCAGTTCAAAAACTTAAACAGTGAATTAGTTCAAGCCTTTTCTCAACCTAGTGGAATAGATTAGATTGTGCTACACTGTAGCTTAGTTCCACAACTGTTTTACATTACTATTGTAGTTTGTATCACATTAGCTGGATAACTACAATTTAGGAACGAAACTAGCGAGTGTGAAAGCACGTTTCACAAGAGTCCACTCACACGAGAGCAGGTAGCACATTCAGAGAGTTAATGGCAGCTCAGCAGCTCAATGCAAGTGATGCACATCCTGTATTCTGCTCTATGTCTCAAAGAACACTGGCCATTCTGCAGAGCGTAAGGCCAAAACCTTCAACAGCAGACATGTTGCTTTCAAACATACGCTCATTTTAAGGCTACCAGAACACTATCCCAGCAGCATGACACACGTGCTGATGATATTAATACAGCCAGGAAGCTAGAGCCTAGTACACAGAATTCAATTTACGTATCTAATAACCAAGCTCGCCCAATGATTTGGTATTTAGCAACAACTGACTGCATGCTAATTAGCGTGTTAACAGCCAGCCTATCTACAAAGGTTAATGCAGACTGTATCTTCTTCCAACAAGATTTCAGGAATAGGTAAAAAAGCTGAGGCAGAAGCACGTAAGGAACATTTCAAATTCTAGCAATCAGTCTTCAAGCTACAAAGCATCAGGCTGAGCTCCTGATTCCAACACTGGATTAATGTGAGGATCAGGTACTACAACCCCTAGAGATTAATGAATACTGCAAAAGTAACTTGGAAGAATGAGATGATGGAAAGATGACGTAAGGTTCAAGAAATTCTCAGTAAGAACCCTCTCAGTATCACCTTAAAGGTGATTCCAGAACAGAAGATGTAGCTTTCAATGCAAACAAGTACTGGAGATGGATGCAGGTGTACTTGCACCCAAGACCGAAACAAAGGGTCACTCTGGCACACTGGAAGTGCTGCAAATTATAAAGTGACACTCGACATGGAAGTATCAGATACTGAAAGACTGAAAGTTTCCAAATTGCACAGTAGGTATGTTTTAGAATTCTAGTTGAAGATTTTCTAACTATAGTAATCTAGACAGAGAAAAAAAACAAAGCTAAAAACCTCTTAAGCCACTAATAAAGCAGAAAACCTTGAGCTGAAATCTTACCATGATTTCTATGCAACCACAAAGCACAGCAGTGCTACACTTGCTGCTGTAGTGAAAGTCACCCTGAAAGTCCAGAAGGCTGTGAGCAAGAGGAGGTAAACCCGAGTTTTTACATCAACTACACTGGCCAGACAGTTCAGGAAAGTGGGGGCCCCGTCTTTGTTACATCCACCGCAGCTACCACTAGAGGTAGTTACTCAGTGAGCACGGACATGTTCTCCAGCTACCATGAAATTAGCAATTTTTATACTAAACTCCTAAAGCAGATGGTACAAAGCTTCTATGCTATTACTATACCGCAAATACAACTTTCCTAGAAGCAAAGTCTGAGCTCAAATGCAATCCCTTATTTTCCAATTAAAGCTTTCTGATCTGATGACAGCCTCTGATGTATAGTCTGCAATAGCTACTTTTGCAGGGGATTTGCCCACTAGATGAAGCATAATACTGTGCCTTAAGAGGGAGGGAAGAACAAACACTGTACACATCAGCCAAAGTGGTTTCACTGCCCATTTAGTTACAAACACTCTAAACAACTCAAAGTTTTCACGTGCTTTCTGTAATCCTGGGGATCTTGCCATCAATTAATAGTATGAAGGGACAAAGTCACAGTTCATGAATCATAACAGTTAGCACTGCAAGTGTGCCTCTAATACATGAAAGGCTGGTGTCTAGCCCTGTTTAGCACCAACTTAAGACTACTTTCTTCAAAAGAGTTATAAAATAAATGATGCTCTGCCTCTTTCACAGCTGCTATAAGCTCTCTCTATTAAACCTGGACAAGGTAATTCTGCATTCTCTCAAGAGGTATGGGTAGAACCTCTTAAAAAAACCAAAAAGCAAAAACAACAACGAAAAAGGAATCAATTCATCCACATGTCTTACACTAGTCAAGTAACTGGATACTATTTTATGTCGTCGTCTGTATTTCCCATTCTAGATGGGTGGAAGGCAAAGGAGTAAGTCCATCTTGTAAAGAGTTAAGTTGGAAGATACAGACTGATTTGGAAGAGCACAAAACGTACCTGATGCCAACCAACAGGAACACAGACGTATTCCCACAGATAACCTCA